GGATGAACGCTGACCGAGCGTGTGCGCGCCCTTTTTTGACAATTGCCCTCGCACCGCGTGCGCGCCCGTCTCGCATGCTTCCAACCTATTTGGGCTACCGCGTTCGAAATGGAGGATATTATTCCTCATTTTCGCTCCATGTCATTGAGCCATCTCCCTTTAAGAACCGTTTGGGTGAGCTCATATCTCACCTTTCGAAAAATTGGAATCTTACGAGGAAAATGGAATGGACAGAGAGAAAGACGAACAAAGCATTACAATGAATCTCCAATCTTTCTCGCAGCATGATGTGATGTCAGTGCGAATCATGACTGAAGATTGTTATATCACAACTGGGATTCTGCACCTTTAAAGTAAAGCTTAAAATCCTTCTTCCTTCCTCTGTGAAAGCTCGATTCGTTCATCGCACTGAATGGGATAGCATTAGTCATTGAAACTGACGGCTGATAGTGCAACAAAGGCAGTATCGACAATGTATGTGAAAATAAATTCCGTTAAGCTTGCATTTCCAGTCTGACGCCTCAATGGCACCTTCCAGAGGAGAAAATGGAAATGAAAATGAGCGTTTACTTAACAGAAACTTCCGTTACTAGCTTTTCAGATGTGTCAAATGTGGCAGCGAATTCGGTATGGCGTTCGTTGGAGACCTAGTGAACGTCTCGCACTTGCTGTGAGAGCTCTCGATTTGAAGTCTGTGAAATCGGTTATCATCTCAATGGATCCGCTTTATCCAGGAAACCTTTCGTTGAGGTTTGCTTACAGATCAACGTTGCAGAAAACATTTACTGACAACGAACGATCATCTCGTACAATCTTAGTTAGCACAGAAATTTTCGTTTGTTTTTGACACAAAGACTTTTTTTAGATATAGGAGCTGCAATGTCTTTTTAAGAAAAAATAACATGAAGTCTATTTGATGACACCAACTTTACATGTTCAAAAATTGAAATTTTTACAATTGCAGGCTCCATTCTGTTCACAATAGGAATTCACATCATGCGCGATAGGACTCTATGGGCTGAAAATTCAAAAAAATCATATCTAGCGCAGTGGGTAGAGAGAAATAAATGCCCGAAAATCGTTATGTTGTTTGAATGAGACCAGAGCTCTTCGAAGCATTTATTAGTCAACATTTATGTATTCACCCTCT